TTCGAGAGGTGACAAGTGACCGGCGACAAAAAGCTACCTCCGAGTTACTTCCTTTGCTTTCCCCAATAAGATGAAATCCCATGGATCAACACTATCTCCAAGCCTCTCTCTCTCCCGATAAAAACACGCATAAACCCGCCGCGGAGCCTCAAATATGTAACTATTGCCCTGCCATTAACACCGAGTGATGGCTCGTGCTTCCCCTCGGATTGGATTGGAGGTGCACTACCAACCCACCACTCGTATCACATCTCATCTCATCGTGCACGCACGTCAGTCCTCTCCTCTCTCCAATAAGGAGGGGCCTTTCGGCGAGAGAGCTCTCATTTTCGCTGGTTCCGAGCCTGACCATCGCTTCTATAATTGATCACATTCCTGATGCTTTACCTTCCCACCGATCGTGGCGAACCTTTTCTTCTCCCACTTCTTAATCATACCAACGTGAGCAAGGCTAGCGCCCTAGGGAATCCAAGGGATCGTGAAGATCTTGAGATGAGCCCTCCGAGCTCGCCTATCTCAGCATGGATATGCGAGATCCAAGGGGCTACCGCGTCCTTCTTCTCCTTCGGCAGAAAGTGTTTCATAGTGGAAGAGCTTCTGAAGATTGAAGATCCTATTTGATCGGAGGGCTGGAAAGCTGGGAGCGAAAAGGAAAAAGAAAAAAAATTCCACATTTATTTTCCCCTTTGCTCGACGCCATGAGAGATCTCTCGATATCGTACAGCAGAACAGCACATACGGTACGGTATGTATGGGAGTTCCGCCCGCGCTTGTTCGTTCGTCCCACCACTGAGGTAGAGGTTGTTCGTTAAGACTTTGGATCGCAGCCGGTCGAGGATATGCAGAACACCCCCCCCCGTCTTCCTTGCTGTCTTTTGATGTATCATAGATGAGACTTTCGTTGCCCTTTCGCTACGGATGAGATATTCTGTGGCTGAGGGGTTTTCCCTTCCAGTACCCTCCCTCCCCCCCCCCCGTTCACCCCTTCCATTTGACGTTCCTCTGTTCGACGATCGATCTGTTACACGATCCCCGATTGTAAAAAGCGTGGTACAGTACAGTACAGTAAGGCAAAAACGATTTAAAATAGGAAAGGTGAGGGACGGGTTGAAGCGAAAGCTTGTTCTGATGTCTCCCATCGTGTGAATCTCCGATCAGATTTCCACTTTCTCTCGATCCGTTCCTATTGTTTCGATCCTGTAAACCATTCTTCCACGTTCGATGCTTTCCTTCCATGCCAGGTTACCTGGCGCTCGTTGCCAAGAGCTGTCATTCAGGGACCGACTCATATGAATAGCAAGCATACCCCAAAGGAAATCAGCGACAAAAGAAAAAGGAAAACGGAGAACTGTATTTAATACTACCCACCTCGCTGACCCGCGATGTTTCTCTTATTTTTCCCTCTTCACCAAACTCCTCTTCCCCCCCCCCTTCAATGTTTGTGAAATCCCTCTTCCCTCTTCCCCTTTTCTTTTTCTTTTTCTTCTTCTTTTTCTTTTTTTTTTGCTCTTCACCCCCATGCCTCTCGCCCTGCCAATCGCGGCATTATCAACTCATTTTCTCCCTCCGTTGCCGCTTTCTGCATCCCGGACTCGGGAGGGACTGGTTGCACTCAGCTAAGTAAATTATCTTGTTTGTCGCTTTTAACCGTCATCAGTCGGATTTAAATTCGAACAGCAACTGCGGTAGGTAATCATGCTTTTGGACAGAAAACCCCGCACTTTCTTCAATTCCCACCACCCCTACCGCGCCGCAGCATGCCAGCGAAAAAAAGGAAAGAAAGAGAGGCGAAAGGGTAGCAGACGAAAATAGAAAAAGGAAATAAATATGAAAAGAGAAGGGTGAAGAAGAAAAAGGAATAAAAAAAGGGTTGTTTCAAGCCGTATTTTGGCCGCGCCGCCTTGGGTCCTTCGACTATTGCATCATGTTAATTGTGCTTCACGGCTAACGGTTGTTTCGCGCAGCAAGAGATGCAGTAGGGACGGAGGAAGAGTGGAAAGGAGGGAAGAAAAGAAAAAAAGCGCTCCCCAATCTGAACGACCGCGCTACCCGACCCCAATTCAATCTTCCCGCAGAGAGGCAAAGCATATTCATCAAAATAGATGTGTCTCGTAGTTACTGGCCGGAGGGGGAGGTGCTGAGGAAGATCCTCTGATGCGGATGGTGAACTTTCCAGAAAAGCCAGCGTTTCACCCCTCGACGAACGAGGCCAAGGCGGGAGACTACTCTGGGGAACGGCACAAATTGAGAGATAGAACATATACATTCATTCCTTGTGCCTTTGTGCAATCCTATGTGTTTCGTCGTGTGTGTTTCGCCGTGTGTGCTTTCCCCACAATCAGCAACTGGCTTCTCTTGCTGATCGTCCTGCTTCACAGAAGGGCTGATGATCCCTGAAATTAGGTGGTCAGGAAAGCCTGTTCGGCTATCTGTCCACCCCCCCCCCCCATCCTTCAACCTAGCTCACCTTCCCCTCGCGTCCTGCCATTACCGGAAATATTTGTGTTTTCTTTTATGTACACGTCTTAGCATATGTAATGGTAGGTACCAAGTTGCCGTTTCGTGTCACCGCTGGTGAATGAAGAGGTATATCCTGCGGGAAGGCTTTCCTATTCTTCCACCGTGGAAGTGCATTCCCGGGGAGCTGGCGTGTCAGTGAGCTTCCCACCCTCCGCCGCCGCCGCCGCCGCCTCCTCCTTCTCCTCCTCCTCCTCCTCTGGAAGACTGTCACGTGGAATCTCAATTCCGTGTTGTGTCCACCCCGCAGTTTTTCGCGAGACCAACGCACTGAAGGGAATATCAGACACTCTAGTGTTGTGCCATGCTGTGCACCCTCTTTGTTTGTCCCTATACATCTGCCCCTCTTCCGATATCTCTCCCCCACACTGCAGGTTGATGTTTCCAAACAGACTCAGCGACTCTCACTACGTCATTTAGACAAGGGGGGAGGGGGTGCTTCCCTGCATGATGGCTTGTTTATACGTCACGACATCCTTTGGGGATGCAGAGACAGCTTTACAGTGTGGATATTTTCGGGTCTAGATAGTTCGTCTCAGCAAAGTCAGGCCCTTAACGCCGACGGACGAGTGATCATTTGTGATGTTGGGTAGTCCGGACAGTAACGACGTAATTGCGCGTCTGCCATTACCGGGTGCACTAGTAGAGAAATTATGCACCACGCAGACAATAGGCCCAGGCCGTGATAATCACGCGAGAGTACACAGAATCAAGTACTAAAGTCTCCGTGTCAGACGAACGCACTCGGGATGACAACAGAGCCGACAACGAGCCTTTGTCATGTCAATTCCATAACCAATACCGGGTATCTAGTACGCTAGTGTGATGCCATATTCATGACGTTCTGGATGAATAATCATCCATTGTACCGTACTCGAGGAGTCTCCTTTCCCCATCCCACCAGGCTCTATTTTGTTTTTCCCCTTCACACTCTCGAGCGCTTTTTTACTATTATTTTATTATCGACTGTTGCAGAAGTTTCCTGCACAGACCGAGCACGTCAAGGATGATGAGCACGACACTCGGAAAACTTTGGCGTGGATCCAAAGACGCAACCCTTGGTAATGACCGCCGTTTAGGAACCCCAGCCTGACCTATGGGTTGGTCGGAACCGGTATCTATCACCCCCACCAGGCCCGACCCTCGTTTGCTCGCCCTGAAACTGGGGAGAGGCTTGTACTTGTATTGTAGGCGGTCTAAGCGCCTCCTTCCCTTGCTTAACCACGCTTCGTCAATTCCCTCTTCCTTGCCTTCCCTCTTCCCCGCACACTCCCGTTCTCTAGTTTCCCTGCTCCGTTTAGTTTCCCCTCTCTCCCGCGCACTGCCGTACCGGTATGCCACCATCATTCAAACGGACAACGGAAGGGATTTCGTGTCTTGCGCTTCATTCGGATCCTGCTGATCCTGTATGGGCTTACACCTTGGCAGAAGATAAGGTTGGTTAAGCATCAACGGGGGGGGTAGTTTTGGGGGGAAATGGGGGATAATTGCAGAGGGAAGCCCCAGTTTTCCTTGCGGCGCTGGGCAAATATGATTGGCTCCTCAGACCGGGGAGCGTCGACATGTGAGACGCGTACTCCTGATTGAGGTAAAGGTCGAGCGAAGCACGCGTTTCTTTTCCCTCATGTCCCACCCAGGCCAACCAGATACCCCTGCCAGTCTTGTGACTGCATCCCTGCTCAATACCCATGCCGGCTCCACCGAAATTAAAGTCCCGCCGGCCATTGGACCGTGAGAGGTTAGCTAACCGCCTCGTTTGTTGCTTTGGGGGACGAAGAGAAAAGGTGGATTGTGGGCAAACGGTGGGCTGCCATTTGCTGGTGGTGGTGGTGGTGGTGGTGGTGGTGGTGGTGGTGGTGGTGGTGGACCGCTAGCGGTGGTGGGTGGAGGGGAGGTTCAGTCAGCAGCCTTTTGGGGGGGTCTCAGTCAGTCAGCCACAGAGGTGTCAACCTTCGGTTTCCCGTTACGCTCGGTGCGGCTTCAGCCGTGCATCCACTGTACCGTACGGTACTCGTACGAGGACTCGAGTACGGTACTCTGGCCTCTGCAGTCTGGTGTGGTCATCTTTGCTTTTTGTTGACCATTTCCGTCAGGGAGGTCTGGTCTCTTTCCCCCCACCAGCACCGAAGCAGGAGCAAGCTTGCCGAGCGAGGAGGCTCTGCATTACATGGTCGAATATCGAAAAAGTAACTGCTGCGCTGCAAATCACGGTAGGCGGAACTAGCCATCAGCCCAGTATGCTTGTCCGAGGGGGGGGGAGGGGGGAGCTGCCCTCCAGTGCCTGCTGTGCATTCGAGCGAGGGAGGCGCGAAATATGATATGTGCTTTTTGTGCGGCGGCCGCAGGAGCTGAGAATCCGATACGACGATACGCTCGGACCTCCCCTCAACATTGTGGACCGCCTTCCCTGCTGGCTGTGCGACGCTGCCGACTCGCCCCCGGCCCCAGAACTACCACACCGAATGCAAAGCTATTCATCTCACATCAACGCCGTCCTCTATATATCCCCCCACAGGTTCTTCGTTAGCTATCACATATCACTTCTGGCATATCTCTGTTGCGTTGCCCTCGCTGCTGCTGCGCTTGCCTGCCTGCCTGCTTCGCTTGCCCCTCCCTCGAAACGCCGGCCTGCTCAGTCCGTTCCTCCTGCCCGCTCAACACGCTGGTCCATTGCTGGCTACTTTGCTGGCTGCTTGTTGTTGTCAGAAAAAGTGAGCTTCGATAATATAGACTAAACCTGAGCACAGTGACCTTTTCCCCGTTTTCGCCTTCTCATATCTCACCCCCCTTGCCGGCACTGTTGCTTTGCTCGCTCCTTCTGCCAGTTCCCTCGACTACGCACCAAAATCAACAGCCAATCTGCTGCAACCTAGAAGAAAAGCGCCCGTCCCTTCCCCATTTTTTTTTTACCCCAGATTTCCCTTATAATATAATTTTTTTTTCCTGCTCGCTTTGGCTGCTTCGCGGTCTCTGCGTTCAGTGTCTGGTCTGGCTGGAGATTGTCCATCTTGTTTGTTGTACCTACCCTCCTAGTACGTACCTTACCTAGTCGTTTGTTTAAACCCTCGTGAACTCTTTTCGTCCCCATTCCTGGGGAACGTTCGCGCGGAACATCGCTGTAGGCGATCGAGATCGCTTCAAGATTTTAGTGGCTCACAAGGAACACGTCAGTTATCAGATCTAAAAATTAATTCCTTGTCGCTCCTCCTTCCGCCGTCATTTCTGCTGCGGGTACGATCTGACAGGAAAACGGTTTATGCTCTTTCACGACTGAACAATTAAAGAAGCTCTCGAACATAGGCATCGAATTTGCTTTTTTGTACATCGCTTCCTTGGGTCTTGTGCTGCAGGTCTGATCTTTTCTCGCTGGTTCGTCAATCGAATCGTGTGTGCCCAAACCCCAGGTCCATTGAAATCGGGTCAGATCTGATCGACGGGTTCATCACTGCACACGTAGCAGCGTCAGATCCATCAATAAAATTGATTGCATCGAATCCGATCGCGTACATCGTGTAGGAAAACCGGGCCACGATTCTGCGGGGGCAAAAAAGGAAGTAAGGGTAGGGGCTGAAGGAAGCCTTTTGGCTCATCGGAACAAAAAAAAGCTTGACTTATTCCTTTCCTGGAACTGGCGATTATCCACAGACCTGTCATTGAGGTTGGCTGCTTAATTAGTGGTGGAATTAATTTTTTTTTGGAAACGAAGCAGCAGCCCTGCAACCGACGACAAATAAGAAAGTCCGGGAATATTGTTAATGAGCCATACTCTGATCCCTTCGAGGGACGATCCCTTTCAATTATCAACTCCCGTGGAGCCCAAGACACCGATGCAGTTCCGCACAAAGTCCCCGGTACGCTTTTTGCTGTTCTTACCGTTCTCTTTTCCCTTTTCTTGTTTTTCTGCCTCCATTCCATCCTCTGCAGAATCGATCATAATTCTGTGCTCTCTACCTTATTTTAAATGATTTTCTCTCACAAAATTCCTCTCCATCTTTTAAATTTCTCCGTGATTGTTTGCAATAAAAAAGAAAATTGTGAATTGCCGCTCATACTTGCCATCCAGGCCCATCTGCCGCTCATAAAGCAACTGCAAAGGCAGAGCGAGCTAAGCTCGAGCCAGTTCGCCCTCCTCTTGGTTGATGCAAATGGGCATTCCCAATTGGTTGGGTCAGAGGCCTTTAGGGAGCATCTGGGTCGTTGGCTGCCGGATGAAGTCCGCAAAGATGCCTCTCAAATTTCTGTCGCTGCGGCGATGAAGAAGGGGATTCAGCGCCATCATCGTAACGACTATGACAAAGATCACCAATCACCAAACCGTGGCTCGAATGGAGTGGATATCGACGGCGACATGGAGGACGAAGATGATGGTAATGAAGGGGATATCGATGGGGGGCAATGGGCAGACGCTGAGGCCGACGAGGATAACCATGACGGCTCATCCATTCATCAACAGTCGACCCCTCCAGAGGATTCAGACTGTCTCAGCTCTCCAAAGGCTATGCGTGCGAACGGTGATTCTGGGATACTGCTACCGCCTCCCCCGGCAGACCAGCGACGAATCATCCGAGCCAATGGTGCCAATCGTAAGCGCCCGGTTCAACCAGAACTTCAGACAACACCGGCCAAGAAGCGAAGATCGACGGTTAAGAGGTCTGTTCGACGGGCCGATTCGTCATCGGGCGAGTCTAACGATGTCGTCTTGCACGAAGAGATAGAGTACAAAGGGTTGGATATTACTAATGAGGAAGAAGTCAATACCTTTTTTGAAACTCGGCTACGCCAGATGCAGCAACTCGTTTGCAAGGTCGTCGCAAAGTGCTGGATAAAGGTTATAGAACCAAAGAAGCAGTCGAACTTCCCATACAACCGAGGCGAGGAAAGTAAGCCCTCGTGGTGGCCACCAAATGCACGGCATAAGGAGCCTGACCATCTGATGAAACCGGGTAAGACAAGTTTCTGCAGCTTTGCGCCTGGTTATATATATGCTTACGGTAATGTGAAGAACGTCTACGATTGCTTTTGACGATGCTGCGTTGTCGCAAAGTCCCAGTTGCGAAGTTGGAGGCTGCAACTGCGGAGGCCACAGCTCATATCCCGCCGGAGAAGGCTCCTCTTCTGGAAGAGATATACCGTGTAGCCAAGATGGAAGAACGTTATCGCTCCGGTGGATTAGGTAGCCATTCTTTAAACCTGGATACAAGGGATGATGTTTGCTGATCGTTGCTAAAGCTCCTGGGACGTTGTGCTTTGTTGCGGCTTCCGAGAAGATTGTCAAGAGCCCAAATCAAAAAGTTCCATCCCCAAAGATGAACGGGGGCTCTTCTTCACCAATAATTGGCGCGTCGGGTGCATTAAGGAACATGGGTCGCAGGATGTCAAGTGCACAAAGCCCAGGACAGCCACAACTCTCGCCCACTATCACCAATGGAGAATCAGGCTTGCGAGCTGCCCCAAGGCTGAACACCGACATTGTCACAGGAGGCTCGATGTCTCATATCCAGTCGCAGAACCCCTTTCGTGGGAATAGGGGCCAATCCAACGTTCAGCCCCTAAATCCACAAGCAGGGCTAGGCTATAGCACAAACGGATATGTGTCGCAGACATCCCCTGTTCACGATGAGCAATATATGGATCAAAACCAGATGCCATTAGGCTACACCCCCTACCTTGTGAACCCGCAACAACAGCAGCCTACACCGCACCGTAATTCCATTGCTACGTCTCACGGATATCCTGGGGCCAACCCACCTCCTCCACACCCTTCCCTTCGCCGGACTCACACCAGCCCTAATATTTCACAGCAATCGCAATCCTATGCCGGATGGCCCTCCCAAATGCCCAACACACCGCTTGTAAACGGGATGTATTCACCATACAGTCCCAACACCCAGTCTCAGCACTCGCCTCATGGGTCTCATAGTGGACACCCGAGCCGTGGGCCTCAGAGTGCGAGTAACCCCCCAACACCTGTGACGGCAACTTCCTATCAGCAGTTGCCTCACCCCTTGCCTCCGATGCACCAGCAATCACAACTGGTAACACCTCCCTCTCATGATATCCCGGGTGGGGATGAGCGAGGCGAACAACAATTTGAAACCCCAGCAATGGCGGGCCCAATTAGGTCTGGTTCTATCCAGCATCAGCATTCACACATTAGTCATGTGAGCTATTCCGATTTTTTGGAGAATGAGCATGACTTGGGAGCCGTCCAGGAAAACGCTGTTAGTGTTGAGGATGGGCAGCAAGGTGGAAGATCGAAGTGACGTTATTTTTTTTCTTTTTCTCTAATTGTATTTAGGAGGCTTCGCGTTTTGAGATTTGTTTGTTTTCTCCTTTTTTATTTTTCTGAATTTTCAATGATGACTTGGTGTTCGGCGCACCAGGAGTTTCTTATTGTTATTCGGCGATTTTATTATCCCCTCCACTGGGGGGGGGGGGGTCTTTCCATGCACTTATTCCTATTTCCGAACCGCAGCCTTTCCTCGACTGCCTTGGGTGAGGTAAAATTGGGCGAGCCAAACGCGGTTTAATCTTGGATCGCCTCCTTATCGTCATCCCTTTACGATCTGTTTATATCTACTGTTAGTTTTCGCCCCTTGAGAGTTATCGTATTTCCCCAACATACTGTATTTTTTGTCAAGCGTCTATCTTCATTCTTCCCTTCCTTCAGGGTGTCTCTATCTTAACGGTGTTGTCTTTGAAATATTTTCTATTCATCGTCTTGGTATAACAGGTGTTTTTTTTTGTGTTTGTTTCGTATGAGGGTTTAACGTCTACCTTTATTGCCCTCCACGTGATCGATTATTTGGTGTCCGGGATTCCGGTTGTGAGTCTGGAGTTCATTCATTTGCATTTATTTCCCTTTGTTCCCTTTGTTTTGGGGTTTTCTTCGCTTGCTGACAGCCCATCATACTATTTTCTTGTGTCGGTTGTCTTTTTGTCTTTCCGTTTGCTCTCTCTATAGTTGAGTATGGGGTATTAGTATGTTGGTTTTTCGCTTCTCCTGCAAATAAGTAAAATGAAAGAGGCCGTCATCATACATTACCCTGCCCGATATGTGATCATATGACATCACTCGAATTTCTGCTCGGCATGAAGTTGACAGCTGGGGTGTTTCTTCCTGGGAATCCGTACAAGTGAGGGTGCGCTGCTCTCATCCAGAAGTTAATAATAATCGGGCAAGGGGGGGTGGGGGGAGAGGAAGAGCCAAGAGGGGCTGTTAGATATCAAGTGATCCGTAGGTTTGCCAATTCGTGTTGATTTTCCTGGGCACGAGGGGGGGGGGGGGCGTCGCTCTGTTTCTCCTGCCGGTCGGGATTGGCCAGTGTTGGTGGTACGTACATTAGAGATATAAGGAAAAAGCAGTGAAGGGAAATTCCTCCGTGGGAAGCGGCTTTTATATTATATTATCGTACCTATCGCGTTGCTCCTTTCGCACCCGCCATACCGGCACCGCGCATCCTCGCCCGGGAATCACCGTAGATCTCATCATACAACCAACTTGAGTGTTGATACTAAGCTTCTGGGGTTAGTACGTATGAATACCGGAAGTATGATATGTAAGCAATCTTGTGAAGAGGGAGCCATGACAGGGTTAATTCAATGCAGTACCAGTATCCTCTCTCTCTCTCTCTCTCATAATGTGAAGGCTTCGGGTTGATCTTTTTTTTATATTTTATTTTATGAGGGAACTGCCGGCCATCCGGAGGTATGATATCCATGGTGTGGTACGGTATGGTACTTTTGAACTTTAGGGGCCGGGTGGGTGATTGATTCTCTGTGATGAACAAGTTATCGTATTGTCCCCAGTTGTAGTGCCGTGGATCCGAGATGTGATATGAGGTATGATATCGTATTATCTGTAAATCGGGAGGAGGTCTTTAGTTTGAAGGCAGGGAAAGTAGGGTACTGCACTTCCGTTATCATACGTAACTTATGTATATCGTGGATGTGGATTTCTGATTATGGGACCGTTGAAAATGATAAATAAGATAATGTTTTCACTGGTTTTTGGGTATGTATGATCAAGTATAGGCTATTTTTAAAACAGGACTACCTCTTTTTTTCTTTTTCTTTCAGTCTCTTAAGTATCATTCTTTGGTTTACCATGAGTGGAACCGTATTATCTCCCTTCCTTCATGGGTGTATCATATATATCGTATCTGCTCTGATAATTCATTCAATATTTAATTGTAAGCTTATTACATACAGTATTGCAATTTAGTCTCTCCGAAGGAGTTAAGTTGGAACTGGATCTACCCGCTATAGGTTAGGCAAGTTTTTGTTCCTATGGAAATTTCACCTAAAGGATATACCTAACTGGATCATTGGCTAAGGGATGTCAAGAACCGATTAACTCCTGTGCAGTTAACAAGACCCAGGAGTTCAATTATTCTCACCATGAGTTATCGGTTTGTCCCGGGACCCGTCTATCGATCCCCGAGTCTTGGGTTTATACATTCTGGTTGGCTAGGAGGTATCCTCGTGGCCGTCGTGCCATTATCAGATTCTCGCGGGGTTTGGGTAGCTTGAAAATGTTTGGACAGTGTTTAATGATCTAAGTATCACATGAGATGATATCATAATATGGTTGGCCGTTCGTGGCGGGGAGGAGACATGGAGGCTATCGAAGGGGCCCTCCACATACGGACCCTGTGATGCGGTTGCTTGTGTGAGGGAGGTCCTGAAGTGGTCTGAGGTTCTATGCCGGAAGTCCCCTACACATTACGGGTATCGGGGTCTTGACTGGAAGGCCTTGCGAGACAGGAGCTTGTGAGAGCGGGTTTCATCGTAGCCCGTCCGGATTAATTATTGCCTTATATAGAACCACCCTCTGTGCACAAAAGGTTCTGCTAATAACTCTATACTAGGATCGCTAAAGCCGATTCTTAGAGCACTCCAGTCACCTCGAACAATGACAGTTCGAGTGAGGGATGATGATGCCAATCTAACAACTCGATCAGGAGACTAGTTACCGGAGCGGACTCGAGAGAGATTAGCAACCCTTGCTAGCTAATTTCCTCATAGAAGGCTTTACCCCTAAGGAAGCAAGGGACATTATTACTTTTGTGCGGCATCATCCGGGTAAAGCTAGTTCTATAGCCTAAAATGGTGCTGGACGGAAAAATTCCTCCCAAGTCCAAACAGGAACCCGGTCCTAATATATCGCGAGGAAACCACGGTGGGGGCTTGTGTAGAATTTCGGGGGGCCATAGGCGTTACGGGCCCGAGGGTGGCACACTTTCCGCAGTATTGGGCTTTTGGACGAATAGCTTTTGGACGATAACACCCCCCTCAGAGCAGCGCAGCAGAGGTGCCTGCAAACAAGGAGAGGGGGGCAGATAACAGTATACCGAAAATCTAACTGCAAGAGACCAAATCTATCAGGGGTGTTGGTTTCCCTCTCTCCATGTTATTCTCGAACCCCCCCCCCCGGGTTCCATAGATGTATCGATTCAAGCATAATTTATGTATCACACTCAGCGCAACCAATCCACAGGAACCCAACCGAATAATATGATGGATCCAAGCCAGGGCAAGGAAGTTCTCTCTCCGCCTTAGCCACTCTGCCCACCAATTAGTTATGTATCATACTCGAGAAAAAAGTACAGTACTCTTGGTTTCGTTAGTTCACCTGTACTTGCCACCCTCACACTCACACTGCCTTCCAACCTTCACTCTTGAATAGAGGCAGACCAGACCCCTCCCCCACCGCCTGGCAACCACATACCATGCAAATCTGAAAATGCTATCGCACAGCGAGCGAGCAAGAAAGCAAGTGGGATATCACACTGGCAACGAGGCAGGTCCTTATAAAACTCCCTACCGCACTCGAGAAAAACGCAAAACTTACCCTCGATGGCTGGGTCGCGCGCCTAATATCCACACAGTAAATGTATAATACTCTTCACGGAGCCTACCAGGATTCATGGTTGCTTTTTACCTTTTTCTTTTCTTTCTCATATACCACATGGCTAGTATATATATATTTTCAAAAGTGTTTTGTGTGTGTTTGAGGGACCCTCTCAGTCCTCCTAGGTGGGAGGATGGGGATATCATATCTACTATACTATACCACATACCTTAGCTCTCAAGTAGTATAGTACTATTTGTAAGAGAATACTAGTATGTAGTCTATAAGACATGTGTCCTGTCAACTCTACCTGTCCTGTCATGATGTTCGTGAAACGGACCGGGCTTGCATGGAGGTGTACTCGTCGTGTTGTGACCTTTGTAAAATGGACTGGGCTTGCATGGTGGTGTACAGGGGTACATATAAGGCCATAGTAAATCTGAATAGGTCTAGTAGAATAGTTAGTATACTTATATAGTACTGTAGTAGTATTAAAATAAAAAAGTAGAATAGGAGTATTTATAAAGTAAATATTATATCCAGACCTCTATGCAAATATGGAAATTCACTAAAATATCAACCTACAAGGCTGAACAACATTGATGGTAAAGCGTAGCCAGATTGTTAAATACTCAATGCTAGAAGGATTATAAAAGATAAGCTTAGCAGATATTTCAGCAAAAACTGGGGTACTACTGAGTACCTACTCTAATATTATTTAAACAGCATGCCAGTAAGCCAACAAAAACCAAAACTTCAATCTCTGCACTAATGAGAATCTTATCCCATTGCCAAACTCAGTAAAAGGATCTAATAAGACTTTGACACAGGTACAAAAAAAATATTTAGTAAAGGTTACTCTACAAGATGCAGACCATTACTATATGATTTTTATATAGTTAGTAGAAGCAGGTACTAGAAGGAGGGTTTTTTTTTTAATTAAAAATTCAAAGTAGAACATATAACTAATAATAATAATAATAATTTTAAAATAAAAGTACAACTGAATATTAGCAGGCAAACTATTTCTAAAGTACTGTATGAAAATAAAATATGTTACCGAAAGTCAGTCAGTAAATCAACCCTCAGTCTAGACTAAAAGGCAAGACAACATGTCTTTTACTACCAGTATCAAAACTACAATTGAAGGAATATTATCTTCACAGATGAGTCCTATTTTGAAACAGGAAGTCTGTAGTCCATGTAAGCCCATGGGGTACTTTACTAAGCTGGTAACTTGAAGGCCTATGGGCCACAAAATATTAATCAGAAGTTTGTACAAGGAGCAACAGTAATGATTTAAGGTATAATCCTCTATGGAAAAGCTGGTATATATGAGTAAATCTTTGTATTTAAATTTATACTTTTTTAGATTTAAATTTAATGTTTATTACTACTTTATAGTTCAAT